TTAATAGGTCAAAAAATCATAGAAAAATTTAAAACACTTAAAACTGAATGGTAATCAAAATAGTATCTCTCAAAATCTTTATCATACAATAAAAAAGGTGTTTTGAGAAAAATGAATAGCCATAAGTGCTTATTTTAGAACAAAGGCTGTAAATGAGTGAGCTGAGTATCCATATTAAGATACTAGAAAAGGAGAAATACATAAACCTAAAGAAAATAGAAGCAGGTGAGAAAGAGCAAAAATCAATTAAATAGAAAGTAAAGGTTCAAAAGGGAATCAATTAAAAAAAAAAAAGATACAACTACAGACACAGCAGAGATTAAACAGATAAGAGACCCTTGGCCAACAGCCAGCAAGGAAATGGGGAGCTGAGTCCTACAACCACAAGGAACTGAATTCAGTCAACAACCTGAATGAGCTGAGAAGCAGATTCATCCCTACAGCCCCCAGAAAGGAATGCAGCCCTGCCAACACCTTGATTTCAGCTTCATGAAATCCATAACAGAGAACCAGCTGAGTGCAGACACACTATACTAGACTTCTGACCTACAGAACTGTGAAATAATAAACGGATGTTGTTTTAAGCTGCTAAACTTGTGGTAATATGTTACGGAGCAATAGAAAACGAATATACCCTCTTTGCTTCCAGTTAAGTGCTGCTCCCTAGCTTTTGCTCTTCTGAGACCATATCTACCCCCTTGCTACTAGGTAGCTCAACTCTGTAAAAACATCTTCTACCATCAGCCCCATCTACAATAAATAGCCACTATTGAGCCTCTCAAGGATGTTGGTGGGGCCCTGGTGGTGCAGAGGTTAAGCACTCGACTGCTAACCAAAAGGTCAGTGCTTGGAACTCACCAGCTGCTCCGTGGGAGAAAGATGTGCCAATCTGCTTCTGTAAAGATTACAGTCTTGGAAACCTTACAGGCATTTCTACTCTGTCCTACAGCATCGCTATGAGTTGGAATCGACTCAACGAGGGGATGTTTGGTGTTCCCCTCACCATCAAATTCCTTATTTCCTTGGAAGGAACTCACCACCTGCTCCGCGGGAGAAAGATGTGCCAATCTGCTTCTGTAAAGATTAGTCTTGGAAACCTTACAGGCAGTTCTACTCTATCCTACAGCATCGCTATGAGTTGGAATCGACTCAACGAGGGGATGTTTGGTGTTCCCCTCACATCAAATTCCTTATTTCCTTAGAAAACAGAGTGTCCTCTGAACATCCACCCCTAAGGAAAACCAGTGGGGCTTCCAGTCTTATATAGTATTATAGCATACTCACTTCTCTGAGCCTTTTGATTCCCTGCTCTACTGTCTGCCATAGCAGCTCTGATCTCTCTACTTCATTTAATATGGGCCATCACTTTTTCCAACCAAGAGCCACTGCAACAGCATATTAGAACCAATTATAGGGGCCTTTGCCAGTGTGAATTGCCATGTCACAGGAGAATATTCCCGTATCAACAAAGCTTTGGCTTGGATGCTGCTCAAATTCAAAGATTCACAATATTTAGTTTGACCCTGAAACAAAAAAAAAATTTTTTTAAAGACTTTCTTTCTTATTTCTTAAGGACTTTATGAGAAAAATCTGTAGTTTTTCTCTTTAAAAATATGGTGAAAGTTATATACTTTCTCCTCAGAATAATGCATATCCATAAAAAATGTACACAATCTGAAAAAGGGTACAAGGACAACATGCAACCCATAAAGCTCCCTGTCACAAGCTGGATTCTCTGAAAAGAGGTGCTGAGATTGTTTGGGGTGGAAGATGTTTATTAGGGATCAACCCCTGTGAAAGAAAAAGGGAGAAAACAGGATTGGGCACACAGAGAAGTCAAACTGCACTACAGGCCCACCGAAGCCTTAGCCAACGTGTCAGAGATATCTCTGGAGGAACATCACTTGTCAGAGTCATCCTAGGTCTAAACAAAATGGCTTGGCATTTATACTCTGCCTTGCTCAACTGCAGAATGTAAGCTGTCCGGGGTGGGTGGGTATGACTTTGGGCCAGAGGCTCTCTGTAGCTGAGCCTAGCCTTGAAGGAGCTGACAGCTGAAGGCTGTTTGATGACTGTCCTCTCCACAGTTGGGCTGAGATTCTTCATTGAGGGCAGTGGCATACTAGGGGGATACAAGGTACTATTTTATAAAAATATCCCTGTAGTCAGTTATAACAACAAACACATTTTTCATAAGCCCAGCTTAATGTATCAATATACCTATAAGGCTAAAACTCTATGCTAATTCACTTTTTGAACCTTCTTATGTGCTCCAGTCAGAGCTGTCATTATTACCTAATTACAACAACACTTCAAATCACATGGTTTCGTCCGCATGTGCTACAAGTGTGCACTGTTGTTTTCATTGCTGCTGGTATTTTTATAGTTGCTGATTTTGTCAAATTTTCTGGTGTTTTAGCTATACTATTGTGGTAATTAGTATTTGTGAATCTATATCAATAACTTTTTTGAGAATGAAGTAGTAAAGGAAAAGGAGAAAAATAAAAAAAACTAGCTCAGTTGCTAATAATGTAACTACTAATGTAATACAATACAGAAAGATTTTACAAAACAATTTTGCTGTTAGTATTCACACAATCTAAGAAATACTACATTTAAACAATTTACAACTATATTTATCACGTTATTCTATGATTAAAATTGATAATAAGCATCACAAAGAATTCTGTGAGGTCTGGTATGGGAGGACTTCCATGGGGGTGCAGGTGACACCATGAGTTACCACACTGGGTGACACCAACCTTGGTGAAGCTTCTGATTGAGGGAGGTTCCGGGCTGCACCATCTCCATGTCTATCAGACTCTTACTTAAGAATTCCTGTTACAGACATTCTAAAACTTTCTCCGTTCTTTTCGTTTACTCTCTCTCCTCTTTGCCACTTCTCGTTCTACCAGTGTGCTTGCTTAAGCCAAAAGCCTGAGGCACTTCAGCAGAGAAGATCTGCACTGTAAAGACCTCACAAGAGGTGCTCCGCAAACCATGGGTATATCAAAATTAGAAGTGGGTAGAAGGAGCCTCAAGAGCCCTGGTGGCACAAACTGACTAACTGAAAGGTTGGCAGTTTGAACCAACCCAAAGGTGTCTCAGAAGGCAGGCCTGGTAAACTGCTTCCAAAAGGTCACAGCCTTGAAAACCCTACGGAGCAGCTCTACTCTGCAGACACGGTAGTTGCTATAAGTCAAAAACAACTCGATGGCAATTAACAACAGAAGGAGCCTCACACAGAGCAACAGAAAGCTGTACTGACCTGACTTCACTTGTAAACTGCTAGCCAAAGCTGTAAATGAAATAAGTAATTACATAAAGGAGTTTCTGGGTGGTGCAAACGGTTAACATGCTCAGCTAATAACCAAAAGGTAGGCAGTTCGAGTCCACCCAGAAGCACCTCAGGAAAAAAAAGGCCTGGCAATCTACTTCAGCAAAGTCAGCCATTGAAAATCCTATGAAGCACAATTCTACTTTGACACACACAGGGTGGCAGTGAGTCAGAGTCTACTCCACAGCAACTAGTCTGGGTTAGTTTTTAAATACTTGAGAATAACTGCCTAAACAATCTAACAGCAAACCTCTGTAAGTAGATTATCTTTCCACCAAATCTGACGAGTTAAACACATGATGTTGATTTATCCATAACAAGTTGTTAGGTGCCACCCAGTGAGTTCTGACTCATAGCGACCCTATGTACAATAGAAAGAAACACCGACCGGTCCTACATCATCCTCACAATCTTTGTTATGCTTGAGCCCACTGTTACAGAAACTGTCTCAATCCATCTTGTTGAGGGTCTTCCTCTTTTTTGCTGACCCTCTACTCTACCAAGCATGATGTCCTTCTCCAGGGACTGGTCCCTTCTGATAACATGTCCAAAGTATGTGAGACAAAGTCTCGCCATCCTTGCTTCTAACGAGCATTCTGGCTGTATTTCTTCCAAGACAGATTTGTTCATTCTTCTGGTAGTCCAGGGTATATTCAATATTCTTCACCAACTCCATAATTTGAAGGCATCAATTCTTCTTTGGTCTTCCTTATTCATTGTCCACCTTTCACAAGCATATGAGATGACTGGAAAACACCATGGCTTGGGTCGGGCGCATCTTAGTCCTTAAAGTGACATCTTTGCTTTTTAACACTTTAAAGAGGTCTTTTGCAGGAGATTTTCCCAATGCAATGCATCATTTGATTTCTTGACTGCTGCTTCCATGGGCATTGATTGTGGATCCAAGTAAAATGAACTCCTTGACAACGTCAACATTTTCTCCATTTATCATGATGTTGCTTATTGGTCCAGTAGTGAGGATTTTTGTTTTCTTTTTATTGAGGTATAATTCATACTGAAGGCTGTGGTCTTTGATCTCCATCAGTAAGTGCTTCAAGTCCTCTTCACTTTCAACAAGCATAATAAGTAGCAGTAAAATATCACTATATAAAACTCAAACCAAACCCATTGCTGTCCAGTCAATTCTGACTCAAAACAACCCTACAGGACAGAGTAGAACTGCCCCATGGAGTTTCCAAGGAGCAGCTGGTGGATTTGGACCACCAGCCGTTTGGTTGGCAGCCAAGCTCTTAACCACTGTGCCACCAGGGCTCCAAAATATCACTATTTGGGGGCTATAAAATTAAGCACTTATAATACTATCTCTTTAATTAGAATCAAATTATAAAGTATAGCATATCTTTAATGTTTTCATTATATAGTATTTAATTATAATCTTCTTTCTTTCCTTCCTTCATACAACAATATTTAAGTTCCTACTGTGTGCCAGTCGACTTCCTAGGACAAACAAAGCTGTAGCCTTCAAGGAGCTTCTATTCTAGTTAGAGGAGACAGATAATAAACAATTAAACAAAATCACTTCAGGTAGTGACACATGTTATGAAGTATGGGTCATGTGACAAACGGTAATTGGGGGGGGGGGGCCTGGCTATGTTCAGTACATTGCTCAAGGAAACTCTCTGAGAAGGTGTCACTTGAGCTGAGAACTAAAAGATAAGAAGAAGCCTATCTTACAAAAAAACAGAAGAAGAGCATTCAGAAGGTGGAAACAATATGAGCAAAGGTTCCAAGGTAGGAATACACATCTGTTCAAGAAACAAAACAAAAATTAGTGTCACTAAAACAGTGTAAGCAAGAGTTCTCTTACATGAGGTCAGAGACTTACAGTCAAAGTGTCAACAGTCATGATCAATCATTCTCCTTCCTACTTAATCTGCTATTTCTGTGTAGAGAGCCATGTAAATGATTTAGACTAACAGCATATTAGCAAACACGTTCAGATCTTGCCAGCATCCCATCATTTGTTCTACTCTTCTTATATTATAAAGAGATTAAACCTACATTTTAATATATATTAAAGAGAAAAAACAGGAACGAGTGAAAATTTTTCACAGCTCTTAGAAGGAAAATTAATTTTATATGTAAAATTCAGTAATGCAAAAGATATTAGCGACACACTTCCTCTTTATGCAAATAACTACATATATTTTGACTAAGTCACATTAAAGACAGTAAACAAATAATCTACACACCGTAACATGAGTATATTCTAAATAATAAAGGTTTCCCTACATGTTAAATCCCTGCAAAGAATTCAATGTCAATGGATTTGCAAAGCAGTTGGTTTGTACTCAGAAAAGTAAGTATTTATTTGTTTGACTCAACGGCAAGTTCAAGCTAACGTCAACAATGTCAAGTAACTTTGTCAAACTAGATACAATTTTGATAAACATTAACTATCAGAAAGAAAAACACTATGTTTAAAACAAACATTGTCATAAAATATGCCTGAGCAAAAATGTGAAACAGATACACTTTTAGCACCTAAGTTTGAAAACTTAAATGGCTAAAGTGCTTAATAAAAGGTTAGAGGTAAATTTCTAACATTAGAATTGACTTAATCTGCCAAACACTAACCAAGGGCTGTCTCATCTCCATGCCTCATCTTAACAATTCCTAATCTGAAGGTACCAAAGCGCCCCCCACAACTTGATAATGATGTGAATATATGATATACTAAGAAAAATTGCCAAAACAGAAGCTCTTCTATTTATAGACAGGTTAAGTTCCATTTGTTCCTTAGTCTGAACTGGCAAGGCCCTATATACACTCGTGCCAATAACAGAATAAATTGTTATACTTCTAACTTGCTGATACATGTATCTTATACCTTGGAAACCCTGGTGGCGTAGTGGTTAAGAACTATGACTGCTAACCAAAAGGTCGGCAGTTTGAATCTACTCAGAGCTCCTTGGAAACCTTACAGGGCAGGTCTACTCTGTCAGATAGGGTCGCTATGAATCAGAATAGACTTGACGGCAACAAGTTTGGTTTTTTGGGTTTTTTTCCTACAAAATATTCCAGTTTTCTCTACACTAAAAACTAGTCATGAGGGATAATGCCTCTCTTCATGATGATCTCTGTACAATGTCATAAGAAACTTTTTAGCAACTATGGTATCTACAGTTGCTACCTTGCCACTTACTTGGATCTCACATGCATTTAAAAGGCCTTAAACCTAAAGAACCATCTCTGGCTTGTGACTAGTTTGATCAACAGCACCTACATACTGCTTTAGCCTTTAAATTCTCCAACTCTTGATGTTTTAACACAAGGTCAATGGACATCTGATATTGATGCCCAGAGCCTGCTGTAAATTCGAAAAATTTCTACCAATGTCTCTCACTGATGACTCTGAATTGCAAAGGCCAGCAGTTCTTAAAGTGCGGTTCAGGGTCTGCAGGGGTCCCCGAAATCCTTTCTAGGGATCCACAAGTTAAAAACTATTTGCCTTTTACACTTTTATTCTCTCACGACTGTACAGTAAAGTTTTCCAGATGCTGAATAAGATGTGATGACATCCCTCTGGTAACTAATGGAATGGATACTTACACATTCGTGTATTTTTTTTTAGAATGTTTTAATGTAACAGATTTACATTATTAATGTGTGTGTTTTCAGAGAGTAACTCAGTTTGTTCTTAGTATTTCCATGCTCTTACTAGCTTTCATTGGTTACATGCTATAATCTACATACCTGTGTGAGGCCACATTTCCTCCATATTCTTCAACCAAAACCAAAACAATATATACCAACAGACTGAATGTAAAAGCAGATGAGAAACCAGCTATCTTCTATTAAGTCAGACATTAAGGAGATTTGCAAAAATGTTAAAAAATGCCACCCTTCTTGGTGAAGGGTGAGACAGTACACAATGCTGGGGAAACCAGCACAACTTGTACAAGGAAAGGTCATGGAAGCTCCATAGGCACATCCAAACTCCCTGTGGGACCAAACTGCTGGGAGGAGGGCTGTGGGGACCATGGTCTCAGGGAACATCTAGCTCAGTTGGCATAACACAGTTTATAAAGGCAATGTTTTACATTCTACCTTGGTGAGTAGCGTCTGGGGTCTTAAAAGCCTGTGAGCAGCCATCTATGATACTCCATTGGTCTCACCCCTTCGGGAGCAAGGGAGAATGAAGAGAATAGGATACAAGGAAAAGATTAGTCCAAAGGACTAATGGACCACAGCTATCATGGCCTCCACCAGACTGAGTCCAGTACAGCTGGATGGTGCCCAGCTACCACCACTCACTGCTCTGACCGGGATCACAACAGAGGGTTCTGGACAGAGCTGGAGAAGGATGTAGAACAAAATTCTAACTCACACAAAAAAGACCAGATTTACTGGCCTGGAAGAGACTGAAGAAACCCTGAGACTATGGCCTCCAGAAACCCTTTTTGCTCAGTGGTGAAGTCACTTCCGAGGTTCAACATTCAGCCAGGGACTGGATGGCCCCTTAAAACAAAACAGGACTAATAGGGCACAGCAGTCCAGGGACAAGGACTAGAAGGCATAAGGGACAGGAAAGCTGGTGAAAGGGAAACCAAGGTTGAGTAAGGAGAGTGTTGACATGTAGTGGGGTTGTTAACCATTGTCATAGGGCAACATGTGTACTAACTGTTTAATGAGAAACTATTTTGTTCTGTAAACCTTCATCTAAAGTGAGAATAGCAGCACAACTGGAAGAACGTAATCGATGTCAGTGAACTGTGCATGTAGAAATTTTTGAAAAGGTGTATCTTTGGCTATGTATATTTTCACCAAAAAAAAAAAAAAGAGGTTGAGAAGGGAGAGTGTTGACATGTCGTGGGGTTGTTAACCAATGTCATAAAACAATATGTGTACTGACTGCTTAATAAGAAACTATTTGTCCTGTAAACCTTCACGTAAAATACAATTAAAAAAAAGAAAAAAAAAATGCCACTCTTCTTACAAAATTTTTGTTGTTTTAGAAAATAGTTATTTTTCATTAAAATGTGTTACTTATGTTAACATGTAATGGGTTTACTATAGTTATCTTTAAATGCTTTAATAAGTATTTTTAAATGTCTCCATTTTAATTTCTAATATGGTAAATAAGAATAGAGATAACCCACTAAACAATAGCTCTCTGGGACATAGGCATACCACTTTTCACACGTTTAATCACTTGCTTTCACCTTCAAAATAATTCCTGTTGTTGAACAAACCAATTTTTCACCAGTTTCAATTTTTTTTAATGTCTCTACTTTTAATTTCCATCATATTGATACCTCTCTCCTTTTAACATTTCCCATTCTTACTAGTTTTAACTCACATAACACAACATTCTTAAAAATAAATTGCAACTAAAACATAAATGAAGCATAGCACAAAACAGTGAACACAATAATCAACATTAAAATGCCTGGCCATGTCAGTTTATAACCATCTTTGGTCTGATGTGGCTTTATTTATGTCCACAAATTTACAAGATGAAAATTAGGAAAAGGAACTTCTTTATATTTTACATTGGCATTTATCAATTCTGAATAAAAGACACCATTATAACAGTTTGTAGCTAACACGATTTAAATATGCCATAAGTCATATAATGATGCACCACAATAATGTTATTTTATAAGGAAAAATGTTTAGTTCTATTCTGTCACTATTAAGAGTTTCATGTGTATGGTTAGCGTTATGGATTGAACTGTGTCTTCCAAAAACATTGTTTGGGAAATGAAGCCAACGTTGTGAAATACTTTTTGTACAAACTATTGAATGGGAAACTAACTTGCTTTATAAACTTTCACCTAATGTACAATTAAAAAAAAAAAAGTCTCGCAAATCCTAACCCCTGTATCTGTGGTTTAGACTCCCATTTGGGAATGGGTTTTCTTTGTTATGTTAATGAGACAGTATTAGTGTAGAGTGTGTCTTAAGTCAATCTCTTTCAAGATATAAAAGAGATTGAACAAGCAAGCAAGCAGAGATGGGGGAAGACAGATGTCACACCACATGAAGTTCACCAAGGAGCCAAGGAATAGAAGCTGAAGAGACAAGGACCTTCCTCCAGAGCTGACAGAAAGAGAAAGCCTTCCCCTAGAGCCAGCACCCTGAATTCAAATTTCTAGCCTCAACTGTGAGAAAATAAACTTCTGTTTGTTCAAGCCCCTCATTTGTGGTAACTCTGTTACAGCAGCACTAGGTAACTAACACAGTTATCAGAAATGTGGGTTACCAATTCTCTAATGTTCAAATAGTTTAAAAACCATTATTGAGGTTCTTTTCTTGAGACTACACATCAGTTAACCTAAATGGATTATAAAATATAAAAGCCTTATTATAGTTGGTGAAAAAAGCTATGAAAAATACAAGTAATATTTTCTAATAAAGATGAGTGTTAACTGAAAAATTAATGTTACACTTAAAATATATTTCTGGTTACCTCCGAGGTTCACTGTTCAGCCTGGGAGTGGACAGCCCC